GCACCTGTGAGCTGGTGTGTGGCAGCTCCAACACATTCATCGTCGGTGAAAGTGGTGAGATCAAGCTTCTTCTCCATCTCCTTGAGCCAGTCATCGGCTACAAGTGGGTCTGGGTCGGTGCCATCATAGGTAGGTGGCCTTAGCTTCAGAAATCCTTCTAGCTTCCTTTGGAAGTCATTCTGCTGACCTCCCTAGCGACGGTTTGCTCCGTCAACGAGGGCTGTAAGAAGCCGAGTCTGCTGTGCCATCACTTCTGCCAGGTTTGGTGGTGGTGGCAGAGGAATGTTCTCCTCTGCCGGCGGCGAGGTATTCTCCAGGTTGAAGGGTATCCCTCCACGTCCATGGCCACGGCCACAGCTACGGCCACGGTTGTTGCCACCACGACCCCCATTTGGTTCGACTGGTTCGGGGGTGGGCGCATGTCCATGGTTCATCAGGCGATTAGATCGGCGGTTTGGCATCTGCAACACGGATCATAGGAGTTTAGTGCTTGTGCCATAAGTGCTTATAATTTGATATGATTACATGTTTTTTGACGATTTAAAAAAAACATTCATACAATCCAACACTCATTACAAAGAAGCAATAAGATCCATAAGATGTAATAAGATCCAAAACATTCATTACATGGGTTTTATTACATAGCATCATCTCCAGTAGCTACACTTGAAGACGTGCGAGAATCGTACTACGCATAGTGTCTTCATCTCATAAGGGGTACATCATGGGATACAACTTATGGAATCTACTGACATGACTCATGACCACATAGGGTCATCTACTCTAACTCGTACACTGCGGCTGGGATACGACTGTTCTCGATCTCGATCTCCTTATCAGACTTGTGAAGTCGGGACACGTACTTCAAGGCCTCGGCGAGCTCCTCAGTAGGCTTGGCTCCAGGTAGGGTAGGGCAAGCGTCTAGGTTGAGGTGAGTCGGGGCTAACTCAAACTCCTCTATCCTAGGCTTCGTCTTGCTGCGAATCTCCTTGGGTAGCTGATCCCACGTACTCTTCATCTCCCTGAGGCGCTTCTTGTCAGACTTCTACCAAGCCTGCCAAGCCTGCCAAGTTCTCTCACACTTGTCCTGTAGGTACTCGGTCTGCCTGAGTGCCTCGATCAGGTGACCCTGGTTGCGGATGGCCTTCTTCCTGATCTCCTCTAGCTCCTGTGTCATGGTCTTGTTCCGAGATTGGATCTTTAGCATATCAATCCCCTTGGACCTCTCTCTGTCTCCTCTGCGGTTGAACTCGGCCTTCTTGTCGTCTAGCTCGCTCTGCAACTCCAAGACCTTGCTGTCGAGGTAGCAGTTCCTGTTGCCTAGGTCGGCTGCTTTGTTCTGTAAGTCAACGACCTCGGCTCTGTGGACTTCTTCACGACGGTTGAGCTCGTCCTGTAGCTTGGCAATTGTATCGAGCAGACTAGCTCGCTCCTGTGCTCCCTGCAAGTCTCGCTCCTGGTACTCCCACAGAAGAGCCCGGTCCTGACGTCTCTTCTGCTCAAGCTGGGTCACGTACCTGTCCTGCTCTAGTAGGTGGATAGCTGAGACACGAAGGCATCTGTCCTCCTCTGCAAAGACAATTCTGCCGGCTGCGAAACTTTACTCACTAGGGGTAAGGCTAAGGTCGAGGGACTGGGGAAGTAGACAGAACTCTGTCGTCTTCAGGTGCTCGTAGTGGTCCCTCATCAATCTGCGAAGTGCCTTGTGTGAGACAGCTCGCAGTCCCTCCTTAACTGTGTCCTCTATGGTCATCTCGGTGAAAGCTGGGACAGAAGGTAAGGTAGTGCTTGCTGGAAACTCGGCTGAGGTGACAATTGGTCCTTCGATTCCTCCTTCCTGAGCTGGCTTCCCGGTGTAGGTGACCTTGACAAGCTCGTCAGGGACTCCTAACGTGACGAGAACTCGGCAGAGGGTCTGTGCAAATCCCTCTAGCTCACGTAGGTCGAAGGTAAGCTTGGCGTGGTCCAAAGGTAGCGGTCCTAGAGGCGGCCATTCAACGTTCGTTGCCATCTGCATGTTTCAAGGAACGGGTGTTAGCAGGTCAATAATAGATAAGCCTTGCATAAAAGTGAATGCAGGGTCGGTATATAACCGAAACAAGGGCTGTCGATGTCCTATTCTATCATCCATTTCTAAGGGTTTCGTCCTATGGTCAAGTATGGCTTTGATACCAACTGAAACAGCCCCGATTTCCGCGAAGGGAAATCCACAGAGTCGAAGTGTAATAAGACCGTAATAGATCATATTACCCAAATCCCAGTCGAATATCACATCCATACAACGATATTATCAGAGTACAAATAGTGCGGAATTACATAAATTATTACATCACCGCATTGGCGGAATCAAAGTAGCATTCATTCAGAACAGCTTGAAGATAAGATCGCAAAACTCGAGCGTAGGAACGAATCCCTCATCCGTCAAACTCCTCGGAGCTATACTTCTCAGCAGTACCTGTGTGCCAAAATTTATCAGTACGATTTGTACTGGCCACTCCCAACCCTATAAGCATTGCTTTGTGGAATTTGGATGCAAGTTGGATATACTCAAAAGGAACCTATAAAGCTGGGGTTTCCTATGCATTAGCATATCAAGTACATAATAATAGTTAGTCAAGTTTTAACTCCATTTCCACTCCCATTCCACCCCATTCCCATTCCAGAGTCAGGTTTCGATCCTAGGATGGATATACCACCATATCCACACCATCACCATACCACACCCATACCATCGCTCAGTCGACAGGCCAACTCCCTCTCGGCACTGTCTCAAGGCCCGTAGCCCCTGGCTACGTCCGAACACTCATCCCAGGGGAAGAAAAGAATGACTCATCTCACTATCTAGTTTAAGCGAATCCCAGGAAAGGTCCATAGCCAACAAGTCGGCATATGTATCGATCAATCAACCATACACTCTGCAGAGGTTTTATATAACCACAAGATCCGCCTTCCTCGCTGACCGTCATCAACTGGGCTGATTCCTGTCGCTTGCTAGCCTAGGATAATGCCACTCTACCATTCAGCCCTGGTACACCCCAAGTCCAGTCTGGGGTGGATGAAACTGTGAGTCATGAGCCGGGTCCACAAGGTCTCCATGAAGTCTCGGAAGGGTGTGGGGGGAATCCTCCGCGCCCCGTACCTCCCTCACACTGTACGCTATCAACCTTGCAGTAGTGGCAATATCCTACCAAGTAGTCCGGCCGTCCCGCACCATATAGGGCGAGTGGTACGTAAGGCTTCCGGTGAGTCTGGGTACTAGTAAGTCCTTAGGGATGACCAAGTCAGAATGTCTTCATCAGGGTTTCCATTTACCGTGCCACCACAGCACCACCACCCTGGGCTCCTCCCGTCACAGGATCACACCCAAGGCCACCTCATATACCATTTACCCACCACATGTATCCATTCCAGGGGTGCCCAGGTAGCACCCCACGGCAAGACTTGCCCCAGGCTCGTCGTATACTCCAACTTGGTCGACACAACCCTCACCCTCCACGTACCCAAGTCACACACGCAGCACTCTCCCCATGGTCCAGATAATACCAGTTTTCACCACGCATCAATGTAGTGCAAGCGTAGTAATAAGCAATGAAATATAATAGCAAGCGTGTGACTAGCCTAACAGTTGGGTGAGCAAGGGTAAGGTTACGTCAAGGTAAAGACCATCAAAAAAGCATACTACCATGCAAGTCCTACCATAGTGTGATCATGACAAAAAGGCAACAGCAGGCAAGACCGCTGCGTGGCCGCTTGTATCGAATGCGCGCGGGGTGTGGTCAGTGCCAGCCTTGGCGCTCTCGGCCTCGAGTACCTGCGCGACCCGACTCAGGAATCAGGACGCGCAGGCATTGGGACCTGCTCTTGAGTTGTGGCGGCGGCATTAGAGTCTGTGGTTCCCCGTCTCCTCGAGTCGGAGCGGCAGCTCTGTGCCAAGGTGTCTGGGCAGCATAAGGAGGAGGTGGCTGCACAAGCCGGGGTTCTTGACTTCTTGAGGTTTGGCCGTGCAGTTGCTGATGCCAAGAAGGACCCCATCATGCTCCAGCGTCCGCTGGAGCCTGGAGGTGTTTGATTCTTTGACTAAGCTGAGACTGGACTTCAACAGGTTGTTGGGCGTGCGCGGAGATTCAGAGCCAGACAAGGCTGGGAGCTTCAGATCGAACACTCGATTGGCAAAGTAACCAATGCGATGCCGGATGACTCGAGACTGGGTTGCATCGGAATGCTTCTGATACAGCAAATGATTCATTTGAGCCAGTCGGCAAGACGGCAACGATTCCCGCACTGGATAGGTGACCAAAGAATGGAACAATGATCAGAATTGGCGGCATATGACCTGTGGAGATTATCTGTTCCATGGATCAGGAACCGACCTCAGTATGTGCAGTGAATTACTCTGTGTCTATGTGTGAAAAAATTACTCTGAATTACTACTGGGAGCCTGGGACCTTGGCTGCCGGTAGTCAATGGATTTCTTCTTCTCAAGATTTCTTCGCGGTGAGCAATATAATGCCCATAATACACAGTTGCATTACACACAGAGCAGCAAAATCCGGTTTCATTCCAATTTGTTTCATTGGTTTTGCTTCACAGTATGATTCCAAAAAATACAGAACAGTCGTGTATATCTGAAGCACTTTGAGACACAGATGCACTGAATCCATGTCTTCCCAGAAAACAGTTCGACAAGAAGCATTTCTCATTTCCTACCAACAAATGCATTTCCTATTGTTGCTACAAAAACAATGTGTCAAAACTAGAAGTGCTGCTGAAACATCTCTACAGAAACCCTGACAGGGTTTTGTTCGCCGGATACAAACACCTCCTGAATACCCTGCTGAAAGATCACAAGCAAACATAAAGAGCTATGTCAGCTCCCACAGAACACACAAAGCGCAATTAAAGAATGTCAGCTCCCACAGAACACACAAAGCACAATTAAAGAACTAATAGTTAGCCTACATATTCAGATGTAATTACCTCACCAGTCCTCTTGGAGCATATCAATCTTCATTCTCGGACATCTGAATCACAAGCTTACAGTGTCGCGGTTTCCTCATAGAGTGAACCTCAGTCTTCACTTCCTCAATGTCCTGCGAATAAGCCCACCAACAAACATAAAGAGGTATGTCAGCTCCCACAGAACAAACACGCACAACTAAACGACTAGTGATCAGCCTTCTCAGATGTAATTACCTCATCCGTTGAAACACTAACACAAAGGGTCTTCACACTTCTTAATCTGAACTGGGAAATGATCCTCTTCAGGTTCTGTGAGTTGTTCTGGCGATGGACCGTGAGCTTTTCAAGGCTCACAGCTGTTCCAAGGTCACTGTGAACAGGCCAAGTGTCATTCCAGACGACTTCCGTAAGTTGGTGCTTAAAGACCGATAGTGTTGTGGCTTCTTTGCCAACAAAGGAGTACGCAAAGTGGACGTGGTTCAGTTTTGGTGTTTCAAGCTTCACTTCTGTCAGATCACTCACGAACATGGCTGTCAGCTCTATCAAGGAAGATGAGCTAAGGCGAAGCCAGAAGACACCTCTCACGTCCTCCAGCCGGAGGCTATTAAGCAGGGGCAGTCATGGGACACAACGTCACTAATTGACCTCCCGCCGTCAGCTCTGAACCTTGTCCCAACGAGAACCAGGCGAGTCAATAGAGCAAACTGACCATTGGCGGTGAGGCGCACCATGAACGCGATCTCCTCGGGATGTGATATGGAGACACTGAAAGAGTCCGCCAGTGCCTGATTTGGCATCTCAAACACTGTTTCACCTTGCAAGAAGTCCGCTCCGAGATCCAGCTTGAACATGACACGACCGCTGACGCGCTCCGCGGCATGGGCACTCCATGCCGCGAGCCGAGCGCCGTCGACGTTGTCGGGGTTGGTTACCCTCAGCATGAATCGCTGGACCTTCATGTCCGAGCACCTCGCGAGCACTTCGTCGACAAAATTGAGGAAGCTCGTGACGCCAGCATCTCCCACGGCCATGTCATCAAAATTGAGACAGGGTAACCATGTCCATACCTCGCGCCAACGGCGCCCCAGCACACATGTCCTGATGGCCTCGACCAGAGGCACACGGCAGAGTATCGAGCAGATGACGTGGTCCGGTAACTCGCTGAATCGATCCGCCTGGTGGAGAGCGACGCCGCTTGTGATGGCGTCCTCGTCGCCGTCGCTGTCGGCATTCTCCGTGTCAGCAAATAGCGCAGCGGCGAGCGATCGGCGCGGTCGCCAGGTCGGAAGGATGCGCCAGCGACGTGACAGAACGCGGGTACGAACAGCCTCCACGAGCGGGAGACGTCCAACGATGTCGGAGAGGACGTCGTTGGGGAGGTCGGTGAGGCGATCTATCCCGTCCCCCTCGCCCTCCTCCTCCTCGCCCTCCTTCGATTTGCTGCCGGGGCCGTCTTGCGCCACGGTGTAGTAGACCGTCCCCGCGGAGCTCGGAACGACAGGGGCCGAAGCTGAGTTGAGCTCGGCGGGGATCCCGACCACGGGGTCATGAGCCGCGGTTCCGTTGTACAGCCCCGCGTAGGAGGCGGCGGAGAACTCCACGGCGACGTGGTTGGGGCCGCCGCGTAATTCGCGGAAGAGCGCGGCGAACCTCTCGCCTTCCTCGGCGGGGAGTAGATCCGCCACGCGACGGAGCCCGCTGTCCAGCCCCGCGTAGCTCGCGGCGGAGGCATCGACGGCGACGTGGTTGCGCCCGCCGTGCAGTTCCCGGACGAGCGCGGCGATCCTCTCGCCTTGCTCGGCGGGGAGTCGATCCACCACGCGACGGGGCGCCCTGTCTGTCCCGCTCGCGCCACCTCCCGGCGAAGTCGCGCCTTGGGTGGCGAGATCGTCGTCCGCCATGGTTCTGGTTAGGGGTAAATCGGAAGAATCACAGGGGAGTTTGGGGGTAAGGGGGGCGATTTAAATTTGCCGAAACAAGAAAGGGTCGGGGATTTTATTTCCCCCTTGCTGTTGTTGCTGACTAAATAACCGTCGCCGTATAGCCGTAGTTCAACTTATATAAGCCAGTTGGCCGTTGCGAAACCCCCGGGCTCTCTTTCTCAGCCCCCAACGAAATTCGAAATTCTGAGTAAAAAAATGGAGATCCCTTCCATGTTAGTTTTTTTTTTTTTTTGCTGTTTTCATTTCTATTTCTCTTTGGCAACCGATGAGAGCTGCTAGATCTTTATCGTGTGGCCAGGCTAGCAGGTTGTCTTTGACCTCACTCAATTCATCCCAAAATAGAAGCATATCTCGCTTTTCGAGAAGTCATTTTTTTCTAAGTTTAACTAAAAATATAGAAAATAATATTAATATTTATATCTTCAAATAAGTTTATTATAAAAGAATATTTCATGCTCAATATAATTATACTTATTGTGCACTATAATTTCAGTATTTTTTCGAATATATATTTAGAAAAATTTTAAAAGTTTCGACTCTTCATAAAGACAGACACGTGTTTATCTTGAGACGGAGGGAATATGTCACCTTCGTTACAGCACGTGCTTTTGACACTTGCCCGCCGACCTACTCTATCCTTGATGACTTCCCGTTTGCCATGTCTGTCCTATGTCCCCGCTATGCTAAGGACCTGAGTTTTCACGCACTGTCTCACACCTTAAATTTTTCTATTTTGTTAGTAAATATAAAACACTAAATAAAACTAATGATTTAGAGTTCATATAAAATTTGCCCAACATCAGTTAGTTGTTGCCTGTCTCGATAACAATGAAAAAATTGGTTTTAGAAAAGTTTTCCCAACTTAAACTTTGTAAAGTATGTTTGATTCTTGCATATAATTTTTGTGATGCTTGTTTCTGTGTGACAATAAAAAGCCAATTTCTCTTTCTTTCTTTCTTTTTGAGTGGAGCATTGTCTTTATTCATTCAATGAAACAATACTTACAAATGCCATCGGGAAGCTCTAAAAATCAAACATGTCTTCCTGCTAATAAATTTATAGAACTTCTAGTTAGAATATATATATATATCAAAAGTATTGGCGTGCAACGGGGTTTAGCTGCGCACCCTGCAAAATATAGTGGGTGCAGCTGCGCACCCAGCAGCTACCGCAGGATGAAGAGTAGTTAGTCGCGATTAGGACCGACTAATTGTGGTTAGTCATCCGATTAGGACCGACAATCTGCCAGCCGTGGGGGAGGGAGAGGAGATGGGGAGGGCACCGTCGCTTGCTGGGTGGAGGAGGCCACCACACCGGTGGAGGAGACCACCACGCCGCTGGATCTGCGTCGTGCTCCATGATTCCACCACGGGAAGGGCAGTGCTCCATGGATCCACCACGGGAAGGCCGTCATGGCCGCCGTTGAGGTGGAGGAGGCGCGTCGGGGTGGAGGAGCCGCGCCAGGTGGAGGAGGCGCGCCCGGGTAGAGGAGGCCGCGCTGGCGTCGGACTTCGGGGAGAGGAGCGCGCCTCCACGGGTGGAGGAGGCGCGCCCGGGTGGAGGAGCCAGCGCCTAGTGGAGGAGGTCGCGTGCCGCCAGTTGTAGGGGATGCTCAGGGTCGGAGGTGAGGGAGGGCGTGGGGTCGGAGGTGAGGGAAGGGCGCGGGGTCGGGTCGGGGTCACGGGCGGGGGCGCGAGTGGATGAGGGGAGTCGCGTGGGTATGAGGCGTCGCCGGTTTAGTGACTGAGGGCGGGCCTTATGGGTGGGTGTGTATCTACACCCACTTATCCACTAGCGGATGCGCAACTAAATCCCTAGATAGAATATATTATTCTACACTATAAGTCAAAACTGATCTGAAAAAAATACTGAGTACTAATGAACCACGTTCAATATCAGTCAATACTACACAAGTATCACGCTGTCGTGTGTGTGCATACCAAGGAGTGATTAGAAGTCGTTTTAGACAGCATTGTGCATACCAAGGAGTGATTAATTAGGGGGAAGTTTTCCTTCTTTGCCCTTATTAAATAGGTCTGCGGGTGTCACCTATACAGCATTACTTCGTAGTCCGAGTGGTAAGCTTTCCGCCACCCAAGGCTAGAGGTGCAGCGTTCAAACCCTCAGCCGCGCTATTTTTTTTACCTGTACTGGATTTTGCATGAGGAATTTGCATGGCGCTGTGCACGCTCGCTGGCTCGCTGCATGCGCTCGCTGGCTCGCTGCTTTCGCTCGCGTTTAGTAGTGTTTGTGTACCATCTACCGCGCTATTTTTTCGTTGGCTTTTTTACCTGTACGTGTGGATTTTGCATGAGGAATTTGCATGGCGCTGTGCACGCTCGTTGGCTCGCTGCTTTCACTCGCGTTTAGGCGAGTTTGTGTACCATCTACCGCGCTATTTTTTTCGTTGGCGCGTGTGTAGGCTTAAGGAGTTCGTTTGTTTCGCTTGGGCGCGTTTAGGCGCGATATTTTCGTTCTTTTGGCGCTCACCGCTCAGCAGTCCGACGGTTCGAGTGCCTGCAGTATTAAAACGCCTCGTTGCTAGCTCTTGTTGTTCACTTGTTCCTCTAGGCATGGATTAGCCTCTTCTTTTCTACTCCTTCCACAGCAAACCGTACGGCGCAATGGCTGATGTCTTCCATGGCTTTGATCTGAACGTGCGTATAGAGGAAGATGGCGACGGCAATCTCCCCTTCAATCTCAACGAGCCTGTACTGGAGGACCAAAACAACAATGGTAATGTGCTGATTCTTACTCATTTTTTATATCCTTTTTTGATATTCACAGCATCCGCATGTAAATTATTTTCCTTCCTCAGTTTGATTTGTACGGGTTGATTTAGATTTTCTACAAAATTTGCCCGGTAAGGTTTACAAATGAGTTTTTTTTTCTTATAGCTAGAACATGCCATGTCCAAGTAGTAACTATTGCATGAATGTGCTTGTTTTTTTCTCTATAATTACAACTTGCAGTGGCCAAGCATAACAATAAACGTGCTTGTTTTTACCCTATAGCTAGAACATGCCGTCTGTAAGTTGCATGATTGTTCTTGTTTTTTTTGCTATAAATAGAACATTGTGGACAAAATGCTGCCGGAACTAATGTTTGTTTTTTTTAACAGAACATGTTGTGGAGAACCCCACCGTGGAAGAACAAGTTCAACGACCCCACTGAAGGAAAGAAATGTCTGAACACCTCCGAAAACAAGTTTATCAAGCTTTGTTGGCTAGGAGCAACAATGGGAAACTAGGCAAGAATGACACTACAATTATGAGAGGTAATGAGAGAACCGGCCGTGTCCGTGGAGACTTGGTTATGAAGCCCATTACATCGATCACAAGAGACGTGATTAGAGATTTCATGATCAACCAAGTGTTGCCGATTATTAGAGCCAAATGGCCAAGAGAAGATGTGGGTAAACCGATCTCCATTCAACAGGATAATGCACCCTCTCATTTGAAATTGGATGATCCGGATTTTTGTGAGGCCGCTAAGCTAGGAGGATTCGATATTCGCCTAATTTGTCAACCACCAAACTCTCCAGATTTCAACATTCTTGACTAGGGTTTTTTTCGAGCTATACAAGCAATTCAATATAAGAAGAATGCAAAAACAATATAGGCTCTAGTTCCAACTGTGCAAGAGGTAATTTGATCAACACATGTTTCAATGTTTTTTTGAACAACAAATTTGCTCATTCATTCATTTCTTACACAATTGTTATGTAGGTAGGGCTGAAAACGAAAACGGTAATTCTCGATTATCGGAAATCGTTTTCGAGAAATCACCAATTTTTCTCCTTAAACGAAAACAGCGACGGTAACCGACGAAATGGAAACGAGAACGGTAAAAAAATCCGATAATGAAAACGAAAACGATCCAGCACTCTTCCGGTCGTTTTCGAGAAATACCGTATGCATTCGGTAATATATCGTCGATAATTACCGATCATGCAGAATTTCATAGACCAGAAGGAGCCCAGGATGGCATAGTGCGTAGCATCCCAGGCCAGGCCCATTGGCCAAGCCTGCCGAGCACCCTAGGCCTTATGAGGCACTTGCTGGCTGCCGCTGCCGCATCTCCATCTCACATTCTCACGTACGTCTTCACCCTGACGAGTCACGATCACAAATCACGATCGACACCAACACAACACGTAAACCTAGCCCTAGCCGCCTCCATCACCAATCTGCTAGTCTTCGACTCCAGCACGGCAGACGCCATTCCACGGTGTCCTCCGCACCTCCCCGCGACTTCGTGTCAGCGCCTCCACACTGTTGGGTCTAGGTGCTAGCTTCCTGGGGGCTTCTAGTCCATCACGTACTCACGTTGTTAGATACCTGATCGTCCTCGTCCTTCTCCTTCATCAGGCGGCCGCCGCCCGGCGGCGACATCTAAGGCGAAGATGGCACCGGCTGGAGATACGGATCCAAGTCCAACACAGCGATCGAGGCCCCCGAGTGCGAGTGATGGAGGCACGACTTCCTGTCGAACTCGCGGCCACAACTTCGTCTGGTAAAGCTCATCTAATCTTATGCCATGTATCACTCATTCACTGATTTATTTTTTGTGTAAGTGTAGGACCGTAGGCTGTAATATAGATTTATTTGTATATATTTTAGAGTTCCATTTTTTTGTATATATACATTTTTTTGTGATTTATTTGTATATATTACCGATGCATTATTTCACTGTGTATATATGAGAACGCATGCACTTCATTATTTGTGATAGGATACCATAATCGTGCAAGGCCAGCTGCAAGTGAAAGCGCAAGCCAGAATCTTGGCATATCTACTTCTTCTGTAACACCTGCAGCAGCACCTTCATCTGAGAGAATGCTAGTGCCAAGTGGTGGTACTGGCGGCACTGAAACAGATGGTGTTGAACCAATCGACGTGGATGCAGGCAGCGACGGCGAGGATGGAAATGAACCTGCCGGCAAAAGGGCAAAGAAA